TTGCATTGCATTTCGTGACCCGAATTCAGGTTCTCTTTACTTCTTCTATCTGTTATAACTTCAAGTGTGTTTATAACATTTTATTTCTTACTTCTTCTGTTTGAAGTGATAGACTTCTTTTGTTTCAAATGATAATCTTCTTCTATCTTCTGTCTAAAGTGATAAACTTATTCTGTTTGAAATGATAAAATTCTTTTGTCTCAAATAATACTTGTATATAATATGTATATATGTGTGTATGTATTTGTTTGTGACTTTGTATATATGTGTGGTTTGTATATGTATATGTTGGGACGTTGTGTGCTTCTGTTTTTAAGTTTGAGTGAATGTGTCTTTCTGTTTTTATGATTGTAATAGTAGAGACTTCAACATCTTTTTTTTTGTATGTGCATTTTCATTTTTGCCAATTAATTTCGGTATATACTTCAAGAGAATATACCCTTTTTTTCGTTTTTACTTTTATAACCTTTTTTATATAGGGAAAATTTCATTCATATCCTTCTAAACTATAAATATTACTTCAATATCCTTATAAATTTAGAAATTACGTATATATCCATCTAAACCAATAAAAATTACGTTTATATCCAAAATCATATTTAATTAGATTTATATTAATTTAATATTGAAAAAATTATATAAAATTCATAACTATATATAACTTTACCAAAATACCCTTTGCACAATAAATCCAAAACCTGATCAATTGAAAGCAGATTATGCATAATTGAAAGGAAGATTATGTAATTATAATTCATTAGAATAGAAGAAAGCCAATTTGCAGAGCAAGAACACCTGTTAAATGTGACGAAACTTACATTGAAGGTTGGCAAAATCAAAAAAAGTTTAGTGATTATCCATGCCGATCATATTATTTCAATTTTGAATACGGCCTTGAACAAATTGCAATATCTCTTTTAGATTTTTGTGTTCTCATTTTTCTTCTTTATTTACATTGATTTTAGATATTTAACAACAAATAATATAAATATTTCCAGGTTAGGATCCTATGCAGAAGTTTCTTGATTTGCCAATATGTTCTTTTTGTGAAATTGATGATTATTAGTAGGAATTATGTCAAGAGTAATCAAACAAAATGTGTTTCGCATAACAAGTGTGATAATATTGGTAGATAAATTATTTAGATTTTATTAATGATACTTGGAGAATTTGGCCTCTAACATTCGGATTAGGTTTCATGTCATATATCTAATAGATATATGGTAATATTTCTAGTTTACTTTTTATAACTTTCTTGTAGATCAATTAATATTTTGTTTTTTGAACATCATATTACTTAACAAATTGTCATGTTTCTTTTTTTTTTAATAGCAAACTTAATCTACACCTAAACTTCTTTATATTGTTTAAAAGAAGACCTTACTAGGAAATTAAATGTTCATTACGGTTTCTATTTTAACCATTTCAACAAAAAGTAACATTTAAGTTCAAATTTGACAATTTTAATCAATCACATATGACTTTTATTTTGTAGAATCATGAATGGTCACATTTACGTTGAATCATTTTCATTGCTACTAAAGTTTCATTTGTGGTATATTTTGACACCCGTTCGTGTGGATTTCATTTGGAGAGACGTAAGAGCAAACAAACTCTTTATTGTTCTCATTGATCAAAATGTATGTTTAAAGAACTATTTATATCTTATTTTCATTTTCATATTATTTTATAAGTATTTTGTTTATAAAAATATTACATTTTCAATTAGAGAGAGAAGTTGGTAGCAGTTGTTACATAACAGATGATGCGTTTTATCTATGGAGGGAATCTATTGGGTGGTGTTTTCTCTTTAAACCATTTCCAAATCGAACCAACCTGTGCTGCGTATCCGAGGTATGAAGAATACAGTTTATTACGTGGTGATTTGATTATTAGGATCAGCAATAACACGCGGTTTAATCGTTTGGCCGATGCTATCATATCATGGTTTTTGGTTTTTCTATTGGTTCCCTCGATTAAAAGTTTAATAGAGGACCGGACAGAGAGAAAAATGATGATCGGGATATTTAATCACTTATATATATATATATTTAGCATTCTAAAGTTTTTACAATAATAACAAGTTATCCTTTTAATTATCAATATTTTTAGATATTGTTGGAAAAATCATCAAAGGCAAGCGAAACTACTCCCGTTACTTTGGTTTATTGACGTTAACTTCGTTCACTTTATATCTCCAAGATGGGTCGTAAGTGTTTATTATTATTATTATTATTATTATTATTATTATTATTATTATTGTATATTACACTAAAACAAAATTAGATGACTTTGGAAATATTTGATTATAAATAGGGGGAGTATAATAAAGATGAAACTATATATAACCGACCGAACACGCCATCGCATTGTGAAGACTTGCTATGCGATAAAGAGAAAATATATAATATTTGTTTCTCAAGTGAATTTTTTTCATTTGGATTCAAGTAAGTTTTTTCTAGAAAATTATAATACTTGTAGTGATATTAAAATAACTAAATCAATTGGTTTTCATAGTTTTTATCTTATTTTCAGTGAACATTTTGATATCAACCAAATTAACCAACGTAGAGTTCCAACCGAGGATGCCGGAAGCATTTAACATCATAAATATGCCTAGAAGAATTTTTAATTCCGTGTGAGACATTTGGTGGTGTTTTTTTTTTTTGAAGTTTTGACAACTTTTACGAGTGCGTTGGTTTTAGAGTTGATCTACATTAATGTTAGACATATTATCGTGAATTTTTTCATGTGTGGTTTATTTTTCTTATGTTGCCTTATGACTTGATATATAATAATTTTTAGATATCTATGGAAATTTTCTTTTAACTATATATATTAGTTTCTTCTATGGTGTTTTTGGATTACAAGTTTTTAGTATAGCTGATTATTTATTAAGGGTTGTGTTGCTTTCTGAAAAAGTAAAAAAATTAATGTTAAAATCAAATTTAATGATTTTTCCGGCAACTAAATAGTTTCATGTAAGAATCTTTTGTTGAATTAATAAGCATGTATATAGTTGTTAATGTTCAGATCAGATATATGAAAAGTTTGTACTTTTAAAATTGTTAACGTTCACTCCAACACATCACACAAGACTTTAAGCTTTTGGTATCGTACAATTGTTTGTTGTATTTTTTAGAGTATATTATTTATTGCATTTTTATTCGTGTGAAACACACACATACATGACTACTAAATCACATGGTCTACATTACAAAATGTTACATTCTTGATGATATAATATGTGCTTATTCTTAACATTTCCATTATACTGTGCAATGAGGACCGTAGATAAGGGAAACGAAAACTGTAATGATTCCCAAAACGCGATAGATAAGAAAAAGGTATGTCGTTTATATGAATATATATATTTGCATTTATAATATATGACTATCTATCAAAATAACATATTTGTAGAAAATCGAAAAGGATACAATAGAAACTATTATGCACGAAAAAAGGAGAAAAACAAAATGAGAAGGATAGCTAACGATGAAGGATGTAGTCAACCTACAACACTCACAAGTTGCACTACAATGGAGACAAACGAAACAAATATCAACGAAGATTCCTCTGTGAGTGTTATAAGTGCAGCTCAGTGGACCAGTACTATATAATAAAGAATATTATCAACGAAGAAATGAATGAACTATGATGACAAAAAGAAGAGTATACGCCTTTCAGGAGGATCCATATGATTTTGTTTACGAAAACATCCGTATGGAACATCGTATATTAAAGGCTCAAAACCCTTGTGTTTATTGTGGAGCAAAGCGACTACAATATGAATTCCCTACCTTTTGTTGCACCAACTCTTCACAAGGCAAGAGCAGCTAGAAGAAATCTTCAGGTACAATATAAGGGCGTGTAACTCAAACTTTTCTTTCACATCAATAGGTGTAAAGGTGGATAAAGAATTGGCCAATATGACTTCTAGAGTTTACACTTTTTGTGCGCACGGAACACTCTATCATAATATCGATCAGTTAATTTCAAGGGATGGAAAATCGAGGTATTTACAGTTGTACTTTTATGATGGTGAAGCTGAAATATCACAGAGATCCCCTTGGAAGAATGTTGATAAAAGAATCATTCAAAAACTAACACGTATTCTTGCTTCGAATCCGTACGTTAGAACATTTAAACATCTTTCTGATTTAGGACCGCTTGATAAATATAGAGTGAATTTGAATGGATTGGTGGAACTTGACCAAAGGGTGTACAATAAGCCGACCACATCTGAGGTGTGAATATTAACATTTATCTTTATTATTTTTAAATTAAAATGTGTCATATTTATTATTATACATATCATATTAATCACCCTATTGAACTACACCTTTGCATAGGTTGCTGGTATTTGGGTTGAAGGAAATGAAAACATCACTGCATATAAAAGAAGTATTATTGTCTATGGGATGTCTGACTATATTACTTAAATTCAACCTCACTTTGGTTGTTATGATCCTTTTGTCGTATCCTTTATTCTTTCCCAATGGTGAGTCTGGATGGCATCCTAAAATACCAAGATATGGGGTCGCCATGGATGAAATTCATAGTGACAATGAAGACAATGATGAAGGTTCACAAGGTACGCCTTTAACATTCTTTTCCATATTTAAAACATGTAACAGCTATTGCCTTAAATATATGGATATTAAATTTATATTTCTCACATAAATTATGATATCACAGAATCTACTTCAAAAAAAGGCAGAAATATTGTAAGTATGCGGGAGTACTATTGTTACAAGTTCCAAATACAGTCGAATGATAATGTGATTTTGATGGGAGGGAGATTGTTCTAGCAGTTTGCAGTAGATACCTATATAAAGATTGAGACTACACGTTTGGTTTTTGTTGAAAAGAACCAAAACAAATTTAGAGCCGATTTATACCAGGGTGTTGTTGATTGCTTCAATGCCGGTGAGGCTTAACCAAGTAGGGTTGGACAAAGAGTTGTGTTACCTGCAAGTTTCATTGGAGGTCCACGTGACATGCGACGAAGATTTCTGGATGCCATGGCTTTAGTTCAAGATGATGGGAGGCATGATATATTCCTTACAATGACGTGCAACCCAAAATGGAAAGAAATCGATGATGAGTTATTGCCTGGACAGTCAGCTCAAGATCGACCGGACCTTGTTGCAAGAGTTTTTCATGCTAAGTTAGAGGATCTCAAGGTACAGTTATTCCAGAGACATATAATCGGTGTGGTGGGGTCATATGTGTATGTGATAGAGTTTCAAAAGCGTGGATTGCCACATGCACATTTCCTCTTAATAATGACACCTGGATATAAGATGAATAATCCAGACGATTATGACAAACTGGTGTGTTCGGAAATTCCCGACCCAATAAGGTTTCCTGAAATGCATGATCTTGTCAAAAGTCACATGATGCACGGTCCTTGTGGTAGCTTACGAGAAAAAAGTCCATGTATGCAGGGTGTGCCAAAATATATGTTGTTTCAGATATCCTAGGCAATTCAATGAAAGACATCACAAGGAAAGGAGTCATATCCATTATATAGAATGAGAAATAATGGAATTGAGGTGACTGTAAGAAATACAACATTGGATAACAGATGGGTGGCTCCATACAATCCAAAGTTGTTAATGATGTTTAATTGTCATATCAACGTTGAGGTTTGTTCGAGTATAAATTCTGTGAAGTACCTCTTCAAATATGTTTATAAGGGCCATGACAAACAAGTTATCCATATTGATAAAGACCAAGAAAATATTGTTATTAATGACATACAAAAGTTTCAAGACGCACATTATGTATCCCCTCCTGAGGCATTATGGAGAGTTTTTAGCTTTCCTCTTTCACAAATCCACCCTTGTGTGATGGCCTTGCAAATACATCTCCCGAATCAACAGTTGGCTAGGTTCAAAGACGGTGACAGAATGGAAGACATTGTTGATAGGGAGAAAGGAAAAAATTCAATGTTGACGACATTTTTCGAGAAAAATAAAGAAGATTCCAATGCGAGAAAATATTTGTATAAGGATTTTCCCAAACATTTTACATGGAATCGGAGCAAACATTGTTGGAGGACCAGGTTACATAAATCAATGATTGGTCGACTTGTTTATGCTAATCCAGCTGAAGGAGAGATACTACCTACGCCTGCTTTTATGTCATATTACTGGGCCTACCTGCTTTAAAGATTTATACACAGCCAATGGTGTATTACACCCTACATTTCGAAAAGCAGCTCTTGAAAGAGGTTTAATAGAGACCGATGATAATTTATCACAATGTCTTGTAGAGGCTTCCTTATTTCTATTTCCCAGCGCACTTAGAAGGTTATTTGCAACGATGCTGATTTTTTGTGAACCAGGAAATGTTTGCAAGTTATGGGACAACCACTATGATTCTCTTTCTGAAGATTATAGGAAACAATATGGATGTCCCAAACGAGTGCAAAATATGGTCCTCATTCATTAGAGTCTTCCTAGAATCTATGAGTAAAAAGCTTAGTGATTACGACCTTCCAAATTTCAGTGCACACATCGATTTAAAATCAAGAGGCTATCGTGAGGTGCAAGAAGAATACTCTATAAATGTGGAATATGAAGACTTACATGCGCGAGATTCTCTCAATCCAAACCAGAAGTTTGCATATGATGAGATAATGAGGCATGTGGATGAAAATATTCCAGGCGTGTTCTTCATAGATGGTCCCGGTGGAACTGGAAAGACATTTTTATACAAAGCTTTGTTGGCTAATATTCTTGCCCGTGGTCTAATTGCACTTGTAACTGCCATGTCAGGTGATGCGGCTAACAACATGCCAGGAGGGAGAACAGTTCATTCACGATTTGGAATTCCCCTAAATCTTGATAATAACTCGATGTGCAAGATCACTAAATAAAGCGGGAAGGCTTAGCTACTTCGCGAGGCAAAGGTAATCATATGAGATGAAGAAGCAATGGCTAAGAGGCAGGCGGTAGAAGCAGTTGATTGGACAATGCAAGACATCACAGATGAGAAGCTCCCTTTCGGTGGAAAGATAATGGTTATGGGAGGTGACTTTAGACAAGTGTTGCTGGTCGTGAGACATGGCACTTGTCACAACTAGCATTCTAGCTAGGAAATTCTGTGCTCTTGTAAACATTATCTACTGTAACTCGTAAAACCCTAATTCATGTTGTGCTTGAAATTCAACCCACTTTCATGAAACTTAATTTTTTGGGCCATGATGGGCCTAAAATGGATTGGTTTACCTTAATGGGCCTTATTGGGCCATAGCAAATCCAAATAACTTTAATAAGACTCAAATCCATTCTTTTATGCACATTGGGCCGTGAACCACCTCTAAAAGTCCAATGGGCCGAAAACCTACTTAATGGACTCATGGTTTCGAACAAAATCAAGCAATGGCCCAAGATAAACTACTTCCTTCCTCCTAAGCCCAAGAATTCGGCCCAACTACAAAAGAAAGGGGGGGGAGTTGACTTTAAGGTTGCCACCTCACTTTTACCCAACATGTACCCATGCATGGACCAACATGCATCTATAATGGTCACCTCACCCTCTCTCTCTTCTCCTTCTTCTACTCTCGGCCGAGGATCACCAAGACACATACACATCACAACAAATTCTCTCAAGGCTCATCCATATTCTTCATCCAAATTCTCGAAATTTTGCTTGTATATCAAGAGGCTTTCAAGAGAATATCATCACTTCTTGGTAAGTTGTACTTAGATCTATGGTTTAGTTTCTTGATTCCTTTATAAATCTCCTTCTAACTCATGAAAGTTCATGATCATGCTTCTTAGAACCCATCTAAGCCAAAGCCTTCTCAAGAAGCTTTCTAGGGCCAAAAATAACATCAAACTCTTCCATTCTCTCTTCAAATCGAAAAAATCAAAGCAAGGTGAGTTCATACCCCCTCTATTTTTGGTTTTCATATGTTTTATGGGGGAGAATGCAAGTAAAATGTGAAGATCTATGTGTATTTGTATGAGATGTGTGCTTTCTTGTGATTGTGTGATATATTTGTGCTAAAATGAAAGATATTTCGAGATCAATAGTTCAAGAAGGAAAAATATGTGATCTAGTTCATATTTCACTCAACATGTCAAGATAAACTAATATACAAGCTTTAAAATAACATACTACAACATCAAACTCATTTTTGGACTATCTTTGTCAAATAAGTAAAAGTTTGGGAAAAAGTTGTCATTTGCGGTTTTTACAAGGTTCAAAATGCCAAAACAGTTAAAATAGAAGTTTCTATGAACATTATGTTTTCAAAGGACTAAAAATGAAATTTGTGGCTTATTGGGCTAAATTTTGGGCTTTTCGGCCCATAAGCCCAAAGTTGCGAAAAAAATATGTTTCTTAAGGGGCTGAAATGGAAATTTCTCATAATAGTGGGTAGGAAGGTAAATAAATCTATTTCTGGGGGCTTAAAATGATCATATTTGTTAAAAAGGATTTAAAATGCAAAGATTTTGGACTTTGGGTAAAAAGTGTAAAAGTTACGAAAAAGGTGGGCTAAAATGCAAATCTTTTAACTAAATGGGTTGAACCTTTCAAAAAGTTATTTTTGGGCTTAAAACATTATTTAAATAAGTGTTTGGGTAAAAGATGTCAAGAAAAATGGTTCAAGGACCTAAAATGTCATTTTTTTATAAAAAGGGCAAAAATTGCCAACTTTACAAAATAAGGGGCTGAATAGGTCAAACTAATGTTTTTGGTCAAATATGTTAATAATAATAATAATTGGGTCAAAATATACAAAACTTTATAATTTATGGGTTTTAAATAGAAAAAAATAACTATTTTATAAATCTATAAATCGTTATAAAACAATTTCGTGATTTATAAGTCATATCGATTAAACAACTCGCAACATTAATACTATACAAAACAAGTAAACGTTCAAATGGTTGGGCTTGAGAGATTCTAATCATGCTTAATGGGCCTTCGTGACTCATTAACATGGCTTTTGGGCTCAACTTAAATAATATATGTTATTGGGCCTCCTGCGACCAAATTTCATGCTTAATGGACCCTCAATGGTTTTTACATGCTATTGGGCCTCAGTGGCCCATTAGCATTACTAGTAAGGTCCAAATAAAATTATATGCGAAATGGGCCAACGCGCTTTTCGTATACTCGACAACCTTAAATAATATACGAAATTAGTAGGGCCTCGTAGTCCTCTTCTTCTCGTCTGTTAGGCTTACCTTCTCTTCAAGTAAACTAAAATCGGATCATTAATCAAGGTTAAACGAATTCATGTGGATTGAGTGAGTAATAACGGGTGACACCAATAGGTGTCGGTCGTAGTCTGTAGTTGTAATCAAAGTCTCCTGAAGGGAGAACGAGAGTTTGTGTATAGATCTATATGGGGGTGACTCCCCCACACCTAAGCTGTTCGCTATAGTTAGACTCGGCCAGTCTAGGGTGACAAAGTCTTAGGATCAAATTTTGGTGTTCATTAGAATACCAAGACAGACGAACTAGTCATTATCATGCATGGTTATAACGACTCACGTAGAAATCTGACATCATTAATCAAGGGAAATCATTAATCAAAGGAAAAATCATTAATCAAGGGAAATTATATTCATTCGAGGTAACGATTCAATAAAGCAAAAACAATCATAACTTTTTATTCGTAAGACATCGGGTTTTCCGGGGAAATCAATCTTACTCACTTGTACTTTCAAACATTATAATGCAAAACTTCTCATTTATCCATGTTTTGAAATCATTCACGTATATACTTACAGGATCATCACAACATTTTCAAGAAAAGTTTTATTACAGAAAATATCGGATTTTCTGGGTTTTACCAATGACGTAAACTCCTTTTCATTAAACACACTTATGAACTCACCAACATTATATATGTTGACCATTTTCAAAATAACTTGTATTCTCAGGAAATCGTTAGTCAAGGAATCATCCGGTGTGTTGAAAGTTTCTTTTGTAGTTGCTAATCACCAAACACTTTGTATTTTGAAATCAGGTAATGTAAACCTTGTACTTGATGTAAACAATGCCAGTTGTACTATGTAATGGTTGGTGATGCATGTGTTGTTTTTTTTATATATTCATTGTGATGATATTTCAATTTAAGTCACGCGAGCCCCCGGATATTTCCGCCATCTGGTTCGGGGGTGTGACAGCACTCGAGCACAAATTGTGGACTCTAGCTTACAAATGTCACTTCTATGGGCTTCAGTTAAAAGGCTTCGATTAAATATCAACATGAGAGCGGTAAATGACCCATGGTTTTCTGATTTTTTATTACGAGTCAGTAATGGAAAGGAGGAAACATTGGACGATACCTTTATTCGTATACCTGATAACATGTTCATTCCATACACTGATAAAACTAATTCAGTGGACGCTCTGATTGATGCAATATTTCCTTCTTTGCAATCCAACGACGCCGATTCAAAGTTTATCATTTCGAGGGCGATATTGTCAACTAAAAATGAAAGTGTTGATGAGATTAATAATAAGTTGATCGAACGATTTTCTGGCGAGCAAAAAGTTTACTACAATTTTGATGAAGCGGAAGATGACAAAAATAACTTATATCTGATGGAATATTTGAACTCGATAAATGTTAGTGGTATACCCCCTCATTATCTTCGGTTAAAAACTGGGTGCCCAGTAATAATTTTGCGAAATATCGATCCCTGAAATGGGTTATGTAATGGCACCAGATTGATATGTCGAGCTTTCCAACAAAATTTCATTGATGTAGAGATAGCTGTTGGTCAACATGCTGGAAAAAGAGTGTTTTTACCAAGAATTCCTCTATGTCCGTCTGACGATGAGATGTTCCCATTCAAACTATAGAGAAAACAATTTCCAATTCAGCTTAGTTTCTCTATCACAATAAATAAAGCTCAAGGACAAACAATTCCAAATGTAGGTGTTTATCTACCAGAATCGGTATTCTCACATGGCCAACTTTATGTGGCGTTGTCCAGAGGAATATCACGTGTCAGTACCAAGGTATAGGAAACGTTTGATAATGATGGAATCTACACATCAAACGTTGTGTACAAAGAAGTTTTATGTGATTAACAAGGTACAATCAACAACTTATTATTTTACAATTTCTTCAAATATGTATCGTATATGCTCATTTGATGTTTAATGCAGGGCTAGCAGATGAAGAATCATGATTGCA